GTTCTAGAGTTCAGTGTCCAATGTTAGATCGTTTGGGGTAAAGAGTGTGTGGAAAGACCGGCGCTTCCGCGCCGGCCTTTGCCCTTGTATTTATATATCGCTTTCGGCGTGCGCTCGCGGTGTGCAATTTGTTTGAAAAAAGGGAGTGTTGTTTGTTGCAAGACGGCGAGTGCAACGGCACTGATCTTGCAACTTCAAACTATGGAACGTTTGTATGTATAGATGTGTGTTGTATTGAAGAGGCTGATTGGGAGCGCCCCTGGCCCTTCAATTGTTCTATTCATAAACATGTGCCTCCGTCTTAGATGCTGCGCTGTCTTAGCTGTTTGATGTATCATCCCCCGGGGATAATGTCCCCGAGGGAATCATTGATTGCCGAAATAAAGGTCAAATTATGTGTTCTTATCAGCTGAATATCTGATACACTCCTCATAGAGGAGTCAGAATATTAACCTGATTTTTGGAAGCTGACGGAGTCGGTAGAGCTCGCTCTTCCTCCGTCGCGGGTCGGCCCGGTATTGCAGTACCGCTGGGATTGGCCCATTATTTGCTTCCAAACATCAGGAGTGATAGTGAAAAAGTTTCACGGGAAACGCGCGCGGAAAAAGTGGCCGGAGTACTGCGCGCGGTGACCGGTGGTGCGAGGGAGTTCGGACGGCAGCAGCGGTGTCCCCAAGGAGCCAGGGAAGAAGAGGACATCGCCACTGGAAGAAGGAGAGGAGAGCTGCCCTTGCCCTACCTGGAGGAGAGAAGACAAAAGGAGGCAGAGGCAAGATTTTGAATTTTCGCCCAGTCGAACGGTTTCTACCTCCGGTGTCTCCCTCGCACCCCGCCCCACGAACGATAAGAACAAAGGAAACAGTTATATTTTAAACTAATTTATTTAAAATACTACATTTTATCCTATTTATAATATCAGTGTGTTGTGCCGTGGGTTAATTTATTTATTTATTTCGTGGACATACTTATTTTACGCGCTGAACTATCTATTTTATTCTATTCGCGGAACAGTATATTTTATGCTATTCTATTCTAGTCGTAGTCTTTATTCTATTCTATTTTATTTTAATTTACTCGTGGACATAGACATATTATTTTATTCGTGGATCTATTTATTTTATTCTATTTTACTCGTCGACGGACTCATTCCACTTAATTTTATTCGTAGACGGACATATCCTACTCGACGACATGTTTATTTTACTCGTGATTATATTCATTTTATTTTATCTATTTTCTGGACTTATTTATTTCGCGTTATTTTATTCTGCGGATTTATTTCTTTATTTTATTTATTTTTCGGACTTATTTATTTGACGTTATTTTATTTGCGGACTTATTTATTTATTTTATTTATATCTTTGGACTTATTTATTCGACGTTATTTTATTTTACGGACTTATTTATTTATTTTATTTATTCTCGTGGTCCTACTTATTTTATTTTATCGTACATAATTATTTATTTAATCTATTCGTGTCCGTCGAACTATTTATTTTAATATTTATACGTGTAAAACGTATACTATTTATTCTGTGCGCGAGTGAAAGTGCGGAATTCCGGGAATCGCCGT